CGGGCTTATATACTAAAATAGAGTGCGCCTGGAAAAGACTAGAGTTGCCAGGAAAAGTGGTGATCCTTCTAGAAACTTATGACGTGTTACCAGAGTCGCGTGACTTCCGCTGTCATAACAAAATGAACAAACAAACACGGAACATAGAAAATAACATAAACAGAATAAATCTGCTTAGATTGGTGAACACCTTTACAATCTCTGTCTAAAACTCTTGTTAGATTTTCCCACAACATTCGTTTTGTCTTGGGCTTCTTTAGAGCGACTCCATTACTTGTATGTGTTCCATGATTTACAATCATACTAACTTATTGTGATTGAATTTCTTTACGTTGTAATCTTTTGGCGTTTAGAAGTACGAGGTACGAGACGTAATAATAATGAGATGTTAACAAGGCTTCCATAAATAGTAAAATATCTGGAAAAGTTCCAAATACGGGAGTTTCGAAATTTCTTTAATTTCAACATTATTGAAGACATAAGTTGGCTTATTGTTCCTAAACTTACGAGACATAAATCTGTTGCCATGTTATTTTAAGTTTGTTTTTTTTTCAAAGGAAAGTGTTATTGTACGCTGTTTTCCTTCAAAGAAAACAAAATTCACAAACTTACATGTGTATGTGTTCATGGAACTTATTTGTAAGAACAGAAATACTAAACCTACCATTAATACAGACGTATGTTTCTCTAGTGTATGGTTATATTGAAGTTGAAAACATGTTAGTTTACTATCGTGATTTGCAGAACTTTTTTTTCTACTTAATAGATTATGTGAGCAACATCTGTGAGATAAAAATAAATGTTCATATGCACGGTATGTTTGTTTGTTTGTTATTAAGCACAAAAACCACACAATGGGATATTTTTAGCATTATAAGCTCTCAGAATTAATGCTGAGCCATCACCAGGCTACATGGTATGTAAAAAGCTCAATCTTGTAACCTTTTCTTTTCTATTTAAATTTTATCACTTCCCATCAGGGCGTAATTCATTTTCCCCTTCTATAATCGAGAAAGTGAACTTTGTGTTTTATCGATAAAAATTAACGTTCTTTTTAAACTTAAAAATTAAATTCCCGAGGTAGGTCGCGATCGTTTAAATTGTTTGATGATTTTTTTCTTTTCTGAAACAGAAATAAACTTTTCTTCAAATAAAGTGTAGCTTTATTTGAATGTTTACTATCTGTGATTTTTCAACGTCCTTAAAAACACAAGCAGGGAATAATCTTGCGAATATATTTGTACTACAAATTTGTATACTACAGGAAGGATATTCATCAACCAGTGTGTCACATTACAAATCTATGCTTCATTTTGTTTATGCATCTGCTTTAAAATATTTAAAGTCTAACGTATCGAATACGCTACTATATTTTATTTTACGGGCCAGATGTGGTCTAGTAGTTGGTGTGATCAGACTTTGAATCTAAATGTTTGCGGTTCACGTCCCGCAGCCGCAAAAAAACTACGATCTGATTTTTGGGAGTTCAAGGATATGCATAAATATTCATTCTGTAGTTTTACGCAAAAATTCTATAAAACAAACTCTTATTTTGCTATTTTATTTCGGTAATTGTTTAATAATGTTTTTTCTAATATATATATCAAAAATTACTAATGATTCTGGAAAACCGACCATTATTTCACGAAAGTATCCAACATGAAAGTCGAAGAATGAAATGGAAAGCCAAAATTACGCAATGCAGAAGTTGTGCATCCAAGTACAGGTCACGTGCATGCTGGAAGGTGACAAAATGTATTCCAACGTCACTGTCAGGTGCACACGTGGCTCGCAGCCTAAACGAGTAGGAACCAAGATTTTCAAAGATTTAGCTCACTGCAGTTTGGCCACCGTGGCGCCTCGTCGCGCCGTGAAATTGACCTAACCGAAATCTAGGTTGTATATATGTATACGCTTCAAATGGTAGATGAGACGTCATGTGGACATTAAATGTCTAGCCGGACTTACCACAGATCAGTTATATAAGGTGTGGTTGAAGTATTGGTTAGATTTTATGTTAAGACTGACCCCCACCTGCACTTAGCTTGCTTTATTAATATGTTGTTTCTCTTTTTGGCGATATTACTAAACAACCGGGGTCGCATAGTCACCTAGCACCAGGATCTCAAGATTCACAGAGGTTATAGATGCGCTTTGATCTGTAATATCTGATGGCCATCTTGTGGCCACAACGCGAAACTTACGTACAAAGCAAGAATAATAACTCTTATTAGGGAATTATGCACCTTTTTTTTTCAATTCGAGGGATAAACTTCTTAAAAATACCCCGAAAGTGATTAGACATTAAAATTCCTTCGATGTTTAGTAGGGATACATCAAATAGGCGCGTAGAGTCAACCGGGTTTTTTTTGTGTGAATCATCTAACTTTCCGACCGTTGCTGCTTTTTTGGAAGAGGACGACAAGAAGCTGCGCGTGCATACAGAGGGAGAACGTGCGTACGCGATTGTGAAGTGTCTTACAGTAGGGTTATCCGCTGAGCACCAGAAGACAATAAGAATCGATAAAGGACTGACCGAACCAGGAATAAACTTCAAAGATGCTACTAGCTGTCCAGGCTGTATATAGGGATCAAGTCAAATCTGTCACCACGTCTCAAAGTCGTGCCAAGCAGCAGAGGGAGGTAAAGAAAATATTATTTATCATTTACTCAATATATATATAATAAAAGTCTTTTATTTGTCAAAACAGAAATTTTATTTGGACTAAACAAAGTAATACAAAAACTCCTACTCAACAAAAACATCTAACAATTTATTGTGCGCGTAATACAATTAAAATGTTTGTTTTTTTTATTCACCACATCCGAAGGGTTAAAAATAATATCATTTATATATTGAAAGTTTCATCATTTCTTGTTCTATTTTCATAAGTCATTAAGTCTTAGAACCTGTGCTTTACGCATAAAAATATATTTATCCACATATATTGTTTACATCGTAATATTGGTTATTTACTATTATTTAACGCTTAAGGGGACTTTAAAATAATTTTTACATCTTTTTCATATAAATACATAAATTTGTACAGTAAATTAACAGTTACTCTGAATTTTCTGACGAGGTAATCTAACACTGGAAAAATTAAGAACACTTAACTCGTGCACGTCAGAATCTCGTCTCATTCAGATGGGATTTATAGTTTGTTAATTTTGGGTCAGTCGGTTATATTCAAACTATCGGTTTTGGGTAGGAGTTTCGCACCAATAAATAACCTTAAATTTTTACAACATAATTGTCACGACTCCTATTAATTTTCTTTACGATTATTCTGTCACGTAACATTTTTAATATTTTCAGAGATAAATTATCTTAATAAATCATGTAATAAATTCTAAGCAAAACAATAGTAATTCGAAATTGACACTAATATAACCTTTCATTGTGAACAAAAATAGGAAAGGTTATGGGTATTGTTCAATGTTACGGGTATTGTTGAAAGTATTAAATATCAATGTAGTTAGGGTTTCGAACAAAAATAGGAAAGGTTACGAGTATTGTTCAATGTTACGGGTATTGTTGAAAGTATTAAATATCAATGTAGTTAGGATTTCGAACAAAAATAGGAAAGGTTACGGGTATTGTTCAATGTTACGGGTAGTGTTGAAAGTATTAAATATCAATGTAGTTAAGGTTTCGAACAAAAATAGGAAAGGTTACGGGTATTGTTCAATGTTACGGGTATTGTTCAAAGTATTAAATATCAATGTAGTTAGTGTTTCGAACAAAAATAGGAAAGGTTACGGGTATTGTTGAAAGTATTAAATATCAATGTAGTTAGGGTTTCGAACAAAAAAACAATACCCGTAACCTTTCCTAGAAAGTATTAAATATCAATGTAGTTAGGGTTTCGAGACAGAAAATTTAGAGGTTCTGAGTATGATGGCTCGTTAGATTTCTTATGCAATTATATTTGCATGTTTTGGTTTAATTGCTTTAAAGGCCCTGAAAAAGTAATTTAGTCCAGTACTTTGCTTATCGCATCTGAATCTTTGTATTTCACTTTTTTTTTTATTCACAAGAATATGGTCATCTAGTAGAATATAAGCGTATATATTACACTTGCGTTTCTAAAATATTCTAAAACCCTATTTCATAGCCTTGAATATCTAAATTAACATTTTAATTTGATCATATTCATCTGACCACGAATCATACACACACACACAACACTAAAAACCTAAACATCTAAATATCATATGTAAACCTATGAGCTCTCCATAATGTGTCAAAGTTGTTTTGGAGTCAGTCTTTAGTGTGTTATATTATATAACCACGTTGGCTAATTATACACATCATATACAGTTCTATAGAATCGCCATTCTGTATGTGCATAAGTATATTTATATATTTATTAAACACTCTCATGAGATCACCATCTTAATGCTCCATGCAGTCACTATATATCTATATTTCCTATTGCTACTATTATGATATATAAGAATAGTCTGTGATGCTACGAAACCGGTTATATACAAAAAGAGTTTGGTAAAAAGAAAATATTCGAGTTTTCTTTTAACCATACATACATATATCATGTGGTCTCAGAGACCACAATACTGTGTCTGTGTTATAGTTCATGGGGCCACTATCTGTATATTACAAAGCCACATAGGATCCCTATACTCTCTATGTCTCTTCTGGCCTGTTGGTTATGTCGCTGTACTCGCAAACTGCGCCGAATGTCTTCTCCTTTCAGTTGTGGGGCGTTGTAATGTTACGGTCAATAGTGACTCGAGACTTGTCGGTCGGCAGTTCAATATTAGGGACAGCAGCAGATGGCATTAGCAGCTTTGCCATAAACAAGCCTGTCTCTTGCTACATACGTATACCATATAATCCCAGTGAGCCACTAGCCGATAAACTCTATTTCTTATATAACCACAAGAAGGCAGCATTTTTAACTAACATACAACTATTTGTCAGTAACATACTTAACATGCAACATAACATGAGAAGAAGCACAAGTACTTTTTTTTTTTTACTTCAATAAAAACAAGATATTTTCCGGCACTTGCAAGTTTATGAGAGAAGAAGAAGAGACAAAACAAAAGACAATGATTTTACACAACGGTGAACAAGAGGTTATCCAGAAAGACAGTGGTTAAAGTGATCATATTCTAACGTTGCGTTGTTGTTGTTTTTTATAATAAAGAAATGTCCTTTTACCATTCCCGATCTCTCTAGGGATTGACCAAAAATTACGTGCCACTAAACTAAATTGCTGTATTTCTGCTAAGTTGTTTTTCTGGGTATGGTGTATTTCAAGAAGTACTTAATTCAATGATAGTGTTGTATGATCATTAAATAGTGTTAGGTGTTGAGTTTCTTTAGCTCAGTTTTAAAGACAGAAGGTGGGTGTCACCTGTTTCTGATAAATACATGTTATAATATCTCCTTGGTGAAAGATATTTTACTGTTTTGTTTAAATAACCAAACATATTTTCTGACGAATTATTTTTCTTATAAACATAATCCTTGCTTCCATTGTTTAGTTTTATAGCAAAGTATATCAGATATATTTTATCTCTTTACCTAGTATATCTTATAACCTTCAATTATAATTACCTTGCATATAAATTTGTTTGTTTGTTTTGAATTTCGCGCAAAGCTACACGAGGGCTATCTGCGCTAGCCGTCCCTAATTTAGCAGTGTAAGACTAGAGGGAAGGCAGCTAGTCATCACCACCCACCGCAACTCTGGGCTACTCTTTTACCAACGAATAGTGGGATTGACCGTCACATTATAACGCCCCCCACGGCTGAAAGGGCGAGCATGTTTAGGTGTGAGGGGGA